CAAACCGCAATGCAGGAACTAAAAATTTCAAGACGAAAACTCTGAAACTAAATTAAGATTGGAGGAAAATATATATTCATGCACATTGTAAAAAGATTGCAGCCATCTTCACAGGTTTGGCTTGCTCCAGTGCCCCTCTACTGCCCCCCTTCTGCTCCAGCGCCCCCCTGCCGCCCCTTTTCGTTCTACCGCCCCCCTGAAAAATGAAATCGCCCCCTGGGGGGCATTATCGCCCACGTTAAGAACCACTGCTTTAGGTAACCAGGTCCTAAGCCGTTTAGGGCTTTATATGTCAAAGTAAGCACGCTGAATTGGGCCCGAGCAGCAACCGGCAACCAGTGCAAATTTTTCAGAACCGGCGTGATATGAGTACGTGCGGCGGCACCACTTACCAGCCGCACAGCCTGGTTCAATTTAAATTGTTGGTTGTTTATTTGGATTTTATATTATTATGTTCGTGGTTGGTATAATGCCGCAATGGTGAACTAAGGCACGTGGGCCACCGCTGGCACGCAGAGCCCTCTCGGTGGGCACGCAAGCCATAAGTCGCTGGATCGCTGCCCCTGGCAGCTAAATCTGAGGAGGCAGCTGCAGCCGCAGTGCTAGTGCCCTGACAGGTGGTGGGCCAGGATCCGGAGCAGCTGGCGCTGGCAGCAGCGGGCTGGCTGAGCTATAGGTAGTGACAGGGTTGGGCATGCCGGGAGGCGGATCCAGATTAGGGTCTGGAGGCACCTTTCTGCCCGGGATTCCCTCTTACGCCCCCACCACTTCCACTGCCACCACCCACCTGGGTTGGTTGTTGTTTTTTTGTTGTTATTTTTTCGCAGTTTGGCCACTCGGGCCCAAAAAGGTTTGCCATCATTGATATAGTGTGTGTTTTATTTGCCTAACAGTAAACCGCCAAGAGTGGCCTAGTAGCCAGATGAGTGACATAGAAGCACAATGGGCTCAAGATACAGAAAGCCCGATTTTGGCTGAATATCAGGAAAAACATGTAAACTGTTAGAGCAGTACGACAGTGGAACCCATGACCTCAGGAGGCGGGGAGCGCTCCAACACCGGAGGCCTTCAAGAGAAAACTGGACCACCATTTGTCAGATCTGCTTTGATTTGCATTCCTCCATTGAACAGAGAGTTGGATGATGACCTTATAGGCTCCTTCCAGCTCAGTTATTCAGTTATTCACAGAGTACTGTCCTCTGAAGATGCCGGCCACAGAGACTGGTGAAACGTTAGGAAGAACAACCTTCAGAACACAGCCAAAGAGCCCGAAAAACCCACAACAACTATTATTCAATTATTCATTTTCAGAGTTGACCATCTCCATTAGATTCGCCTTTTCGGGGCGGGGGGGGAGAGAAGAAACGAGTGGTTAAGACTGAGCAGGGTGCAGAATCTGAGGTCCCCACACAATACCTGTGGGCTCGATTGCCAAACCTCATTGAACTGCAAAATGAGCCCATCTCTACTTGGCACTAATAGATAGTCCATATCTCTGCTCCTTAAGATGATAGAACAAGAGCTTTTTACACCTTCAGCTTAACAGAAAGATTCAGCCCATGCCAATTGCACACAGAGGACTGAAGGCAGTGCTGGCTTTAGAGAGGTTAATTCATCATCGATGAGAAAGCATCTGGAGACGGTGCTGCCAAGATATGTGAACTTTATTCACTGCAGGAAGGGGGAGTTTGCATATCTTCAGAAATTGTTCCTCATAAGGTACAACCAGAACAGGCTGGTACATCACCACTACCTGATCAGTATTGATCTTCAGGCCAAAATGGTCACAGGCGAAGGAGAACAAATCCAAAACTTTTTTTCCATATCCAGAAGTGCAGTTGCATTAACGGCACAATCACTGGCAAAAAAAGAGAAAGTTTATACACTGTTCGAAATGAGATTTTTGTTACACTCTGAATAGGCCGCAGAATGAAGACTGATGGAGGTTAACATCAAGGTTTTCTTCCCTGTAGGCATCTCAGAGTATGGCTGAAATCCTGTTGCTTAGAGTGGTAAATCTCCACTAGAGTAAGCCCACTTAATAGGTGGGGATTTGATGACTTAATTCCTCTGAAAGTTCTAATGATTCAATGGGTCTACTCTAGTTGCAACGTATTACTTTAGGCAAGAAAGTCATTCTCGAATAGAAGCAATTCAAAGACAGATTTCAATATGAAACCTCTGTATTATAATTCAACAACAGAGCCAGATCCATCTCCCACGGTTTGCACATGAACAATGTGCATGTGTGTTCCACTACATGTGTCAATCAGGTCACCAGTGCGAGGAGGTCTGTGTTACCCCCTGATGACAGCCCTGCAGATGGGCAATCAACCACTGCTAAAACTGCGTTTTCTACATTTTTATTCCCATTGACTCACTAGTAAACATAAGGCCAAATCCTGTTGCTTAGTCTAGAAAGTTCACTAGAGCAGGTGCACTTGAATCAGTGGAATTCATGGAGCAGTTGACTCACCAAATCCTCACTGATACAATGACTTCTAGTATGACTTACTATGCTAAGCAATAGGATTTCAGCCATTTGTAGCAAGTCTGACATCAGGGTATCTGATGAAGTCAATGGTAGCTGAAGAAACCTTCTGCTACAATCAAGCTATCGGTCCCAGCTAGAACAAATCCCTGAATCAAGGGGCCTGGCCTGAGAGTTAGCTTAATAAACCCCATTGTTTCGATGGGTCCAGTCCACTCCGGATTAACAAATGCATTGAATCCATCATCTCTAAGGTGCCAAAATACCCCTGGCTCCTTCTGTCACAACAGATTAATGCTACCACCTCTCTAGAAATGTGTTTTGTCTCAACATCCAGGGTGGGGTGCCATTTGCCACTGACCCATCACGGGAGATGTGGAAAAGTAAGCATTCTGAACCACCAAATCTGGACTCTTGACCAGAGAGGGTCAAACCAAGGAGTCCCTTCACAACACAACTGGCTTTGGCCAGACTATGCGGTGCTTACATAACATCATAGAGTACTTCTTGTCATGCACAGCCGCAAAAGTTGGGGGGATGGGGGTTTGTCACAAAGATTAACAGCAAAAAGAAATGCCAATGGGGATTTTTACTACCTAAGTGTTACGACTTACCTTTCAGAATGGCATTACTTTGGGCAAAACCTACTCGCACCATTGAATCTGTGTTAATACTGTTATGCCTCTCACACCTAAGGAGTATCCGATAAAGCTTTTGTTTGGTAACCTTTCTTCTCATTCCCGCTTAAAACTTTTTCTGAAATAGATCCTAGGTCAGGGAAGTGAGAGGGCCTGGAGATTCGTGCATCTCCTGGACAACATGACCTTCTGGGCCGAACAGATGAAATGGATTTGTCTACTCCCCTCTACAAGAACCCCTCTGTGACCCCAAAGCTGCATGGCCCAAGCTGGGAAGAGATAACCTTTGGATTGCAAGTGGACAGCTGAATTTTCAAAAAATGGAGATTCAGGGCTTAGTTCTTTCTTTTTCTTCCCAGCCAGACAAAAGCCCACTTAAGGTGTCGTTCTGACGGCCCCTGTTTAGGCGTCAGCAACATCTTCCCCTGTATCTCCCCAGAGGCAACACAGACTTCCCTGTCATTCTGAACTGCCCCACTCTCCTTGATTTTTGCAAAGTCATGTATACCAAAGAGATTTTTTTTAAAAAAAAAAATCTCAACCGGTTGCACAAAGAATTTCATGCTTTCCTAGTAAGTGTCCAAAAAAAAAAAAAGTATCGCCACAACGCAGATTTTGGAATTACTGCAAACACAGTTTCCTCTGCATCTTCTGCACCTGTTAGCTACACAAATACACACAAATATAACACACTCGCGTGTCATACCAGAGGTCCTCCTTAACCGTCACCGGAACCTGAAAGTTCACCAAGCACTAGGGAATAGTAAAAAGGATCAGCAGTATTTTCCATGGGTCGCCCATGTTCTCCAAATGCTTGAGCACACATCTGAGACTACATTCCATGCTCACCCAGTTCAACTACAGTTAGAGAGAATACACATGGCTGTGCACATAGTCATAATAATGAATAAGCCTTCCATTCAACTTTATACAACATTCCTATCACCACATGGATAGACGGCCCTTAATTTAGATTGCTTTAAAAATGAATCACATTAGCTGGTGGCCTTCCACTCCTCTAAATTCTGGGGTTAAGCCTTCCTCCACAGCTTCAGAATTAATTGGCTGTGGGTAATATTCTGATTGCATCTGAGCTTGATGAAGTTTTCTGCATAAAAGCCAGCCTATTATAGGCCTCCCCGGAGCTTGGACAGATTGAAAATGTGAGGCTCATTGAATTCCCTACATGCACTGCCGAGTTAAGAGAGGCTCACTCAACTGCAGCACCTCCTCTGATCAACAGCAGTGCATCATCAAGCAGCAAGCAGATCTAGACTGAAGCTAGGTGGGGCTTCTAGAAGGGAGAAAAAAACTCTTTCTGAAGCATGGCCGGCCACACACAAAATATTAAGGCTCTTGCCCAAGACGAAAATCCTATTGTTGTGGAGGAGAAGAACAGTGGACTACTTGCCATCACAGAAACACAACGTGGAAAAATATACCACCAACAGGATCATTACTGAGGCATCCATCTATATTGGAGAGCACATTATCCTCTGCAACAGCTCCCCAACTGCCTTCCAGAACAAGTCAAGACCAAAGGTCAGAAAAAGTACTTTTCTGGAGAGCAACTTCCAGAATCTCCCAGCCTACAAAACACACTCTGCCTTTAAAAATTCCAAGGTGTATTTATCTCGTGCAGAAGCAGTCGCGACAGATGGGTACTGTATGTGGCCTCTGGGAAGTTAATGGGCATAGGAAGGAAATAACACAATGACACTTTGAACTGGGAGCTCCTAAATATCATAGCGGGGGGCAGATAAAGTTCCTTAGGCCACTGCCTATCAAGTTTTAAAAGGCAAGAGAAGGAAGGGAAAAAGAAGAAAGGATTAGATGGCAGATCAGCAATTCAAAGGTGGAACCTTACTCACCCTTTTTGCTACTAGCCCCCAAAGTCAGCTGTGTGAGTTCCGGGACCTCCCTGGGGCACTCTTGCTCACCCTCAATGCCACTGTCATCAAATTGAGCCTCTATGACAACATCCGGGCTGCTGGCATCCCCTTTTCCTGGATCAGGAAGCACCTGGGTACCTGGTGAATTCCCAGGGCCCCCTGATCCTTGAGCAGCATCCGCTTCACTCTCACAACCATCTGGCTTGTTGACCTGAAAAGCAAGGAAAGAGAAAAGCTGAATTTCAAATTGCAAAACTAGGGATAAATGGCTACAAAAATCACATGGCTCATTTGGCCCAGCCCAGAGCTCCCGAAGGACCCTGCTCTGGCATCGGTGGCAATCCAGATTTATACAAAAGCTACGTGAGCTACAGTTTAGAACCTCAGATTATACAGGATCACTAAATATACAAAATAACAAATATTCCAAGAAACCTGCTCTGATCATGCTTTGCCTGACCTCACTGGGGCTACACTCTCCCTGAAGGATTAAGTTCACAACTTGGGGTATTCTTAGACTCTGCTTTCTCTACGGAGGTGCAAATATCTGCTGTGGCCAAGAGTGTCTTCCATCAACTTGGGCTGATGGCAGATATCGGCAGATACGAACACATATTCCCAATCTTGACATGCCTTTCTCAGCTCCTTGTTAGTTTCTGTGCTCAACTGAAGATGCCATTTAGGAACTATAAAGCCTATAATGTTTTAGAACCTCAATATTTGGTGGAACTTCTCTCCCACAAAATTGCCTCCCATCCCACCTGCTCCTCAAAGTCCTTGATGTTTAAAATTGTGACGCCCAAAGAGGCCGAAAGAACTCTCTAACCCGATTACCTCCCACCCCCAAAACCTGCCAGTCCACTTACAGAGTGGCGTGCATGACCAGAGTCATCTTCAGCATCTCAATCACAGCAGTAGCCCAGATGATGCAGACCTGCCTCCCCACTTGCCCGGCCAACTCGGATAGGTCTACCCACTCAGCTGCAAGCAGAGAGGCGCACCTGCCATGGCTGGCCTGCTGACGATAATGCCCACCGCACGCACCACATGGCAAGTGGGCTAGCGGACTCTGGGGGCAGGAGGGAATCAGGCCAGCTATCTGCACTGGCAGGATTCGTCTTCATAGACCAAGACGAATCCCCCATCTCTAGAGCGAACACCGGGAACTGAGCTTTTTCAGCTGTGACCCCTTCCCTCTGAATAAGCTTCCCACAGACGTTCATCAGGGTCACGAAGAGTCGGACATGACTAAACGAACGAAGGAAGACGTTCATCAGGTGCCATCTCTCTCAATTTGAGGAAGCTAATCAAAACAGAGTTACATAAAGCTCCTTCCTATTAGTCTTGAACTACCAATCTGAAATATACAAATAGGTTTTAATTTATGCAATTCTATTTAAAGGTAGGTTCACTGGTTTAACTAGCGATAGAGTTTTTATTGTGTTTTTATTGCGCATTGTCATTTATGGTATGATTTGATGGTACGTTGTGAATGGCCCAGAGAGTGTTCACACAAATGTGGTCGCAGAGAAGTGGAAATAATACACAAACAAACAAATACAGCAAACATTCAGTGTGAGTTTTTCTGGATACAATCCAGAAGCAGGCTGTATCCGCGAAAGCTGACCCTGAAATCCGTTAAAGGCCTTAAGAGTTCCTCAATGCATCCCCTCCACCACAAACAGAGTAACACAGTGATGCCCTTGAAACCAATAAAACAGCAAAGTCCCTTGTAAGTTTTCTAGAATCACACAAATACCCCTGGTTGTGTCTGTTTTTGTGCATTTCTCCAGTGATAGTCAGTACATGGAAAGCAGACTTAAACTAAATCAGATCCTTAGTCTGTTTAGCCCAGTGTTGTTGGGCCTGGCCGAGTGGAACGGCTCCCCAGCATTTCAGGCAGGATCCTTTCCTAGCCCTGCGTGGAGACCCATGCACTCCATGCTGGTCTGCCCTCCCCGAATGCCAATTCGGCCTGGCTCTCCTTAAGCTCCTAAGTCACATGATATTGTGTTTAGAATGATAACGATGATACAGAGAGGTAGACTGGTTTTCTGTACTCTCCTGAATCATGGTGAAAAGAATCTTAGTGTGGCCATGGATTTTTCACCAAGCACCGGGCTACGGCAAGATGCACCATGTTTACCAGGAAGGGGGTCACGCAGGGGGTCCAGTAACTGACACGGACACTCTGCCAAGCTAGTGCTTTGTAAATGCAGAGGTGGGGGAGATTAATACACAAGACTACAGCTCCCAGAATCGTACAGCCAGTTCAATCAGTGCTATGTTGCTTGTGAGCTTCGGCACCTGTGCCCCCCTCTCCACCCAGTGCACCCTCTGGGTGTTGTTGGGCTGAGGCTTTAATGCATTCCACATCCTTGGCTCTAGTGCACTGGTTCCTGACTTTGGATCCTGAAATGCTCCCAGAAGCATTCACCACTAGCTGTGCTGGCCAGGATTTCCGGGAGTTGATGTCCAAGAATTTCTGGTTCCCAAAATTGGGAACCACTGTTCTATTGAGCAGTGATGTTAGGAGCTGCCACCCAGTCACATCCGGATGGACACATTTGTCCACTGAGCCGACAATACTGTTTGGTGGAAATAAAGCTTGCACCAATGCAGTCCATTCTCTTTGCTCTTGGGAAGAGGCAGCCCTTCTGCCATGAGTCCTTCCCCTGGCTTGTGGCCCTGTAACAAGCACAGCACGCGGCAAACCTAAATAGTGAGAAATGCGCCTTTTCATTCTTGAAAAAAGTCCAGACTCTTAGGCTGTTGATTCCTTTACTGGATCCCAAAATGTCGTTTCCGTGCCGAGCAGTTGTAGAATTATGGGGGATGAACCACCTTGTTAATTATCATGTTGCTGATGGCTGTAAATGTTTAATAGACTGCATGAACATTCTTTTGATATAGGAGGGGGCCTATAATAAAGTAATTCAAATGTTTCAAGAATTCATAAAGGTGGTGCTGGCACAGGCAGAGTTCTCTCATGTCAGCCATATTTAGACTTAATCCAGTAGGTGCTCCCAATTCTTGCGTGGGCATTTTCCATTTGCTACCACAGTTTCCATGTCAGTCAGAGGCTACAGATTTGATGGAAGATCACGGTACCACAGTTTCCATGTCAGTCAGAGGCTATAGATTTGATGGAAGATCACGCTTTACTCTATTTTTGATTTCTTCCTTAGAATTTCCCTTTCCCCATGATCTAGCCCCTTTCAACCCTTTTTAGGGTATCCATGTCTTTGTATATATCTCTCAGCCTCTATGAAAACTGTTCCTGAAAGAATAGCTTAGGGTGGCATTCAGTAGGAGGTCTCGTGGGACTTGCAAGCCAAAACAGATGGCGTTAATTGTGCAGATGCATGTTAACCATCTCCAGAATATATAATTCTTGAACTGAACTCTTGCTTAGACCAGGGGTTCTGCACAGAGGAAGTTGATGGTCATCACTCCTATTTGATGGTGAGACAGGTTATCCATTGAGAGCTCTCCTCCTTAGCTCTGAAGGATAGATGAGAAATGGTTCATTATTCAGTGGCTGGACATGTTAAGAGGATAGAGTCTTCCCGTCAGGCACCTGTGGATTTCCTACATTGACAGAGGATTGGATTTAAATGCCCTTGGTTTTAGCTGCAGCATTCTGTTATTGTATGGATGGGGTGGTTTTCCAGAAACCTTACACAGAGCTTTTAAGTTGCTGCACATAGTAGTTTTAAAGGAGATGATGATACTATTTTTTTAAAAAAATTTAAAAAAAAGCCCACACCCCTTTTTTGCACAAGTATCCTTTCAATGTTAATCTGGCATGGCAGAAAGCAGTGGTTTGATCAAACCACTGCTTGGAATCATGAGTGGACGGTCTGGTTCCAGGGGGCCAGATCCTTGTTATCTGCACTTGTGGGGTATATTTATATTCGAATACCCCCATCTCTACTGATCCACTCTGGCAAGGCTCTCAAGATTTGGATAATGGGAGCATTGATAATTGAGAAATATCCTTCTGACATGGTTTAAAGTTTAGATTTGGCTTTAACTTTTCTGATCCTGCTTGGGTTGGAGCTACCCCTTTGCTCTACCTCTGATTTCCGAACAAGGGCCTCCATGCTGCTATGCTTAATTTCCTACTGGACAGATCGCAGGAGGAGCCCGTGGTCAGTGGCTCTGACTAGTGACAGATGAAGAGAACATTCAGGATGGGAGGGTGGCAGCATGTATTTGAGCCTGGAGAAATGGCTCGTCTGAATTCCCAAGCAGGACGCACAAACTCAGCTCGGCCCAACCAACTCCTTTCCAAACTCTGCATCTGTCTTCTGAGCACCAGATACTGCATGTAGTCACCGGGCAGCATGTATTTGAGCCTGGAGAAATGGCTCGTCTGGGCTTCTGCTCCCAGAATTCCCAAGCAGGATGCACAAACTCAGCTCAGCTCAAACCCCGTCCTTTCCAAGCTCTGCATCTGTCTTCTGAGCACCAGATACTGCATGTAGTCACCGGGCCGTGGGGGTGGCCTTCATACCCGCTGGGACCCTTCCCGAGGAGTTTATCTGTTGACCGTAGACGAACCCTGGCTTGAACCAGCAATGCTGCTCTTATATTCCACGAACATTCACTTTATTTTATTTTTAAGCACCTTTCAGCTATTTTGATAAATGTGCTTTATTACAAGGTGTGCTTTGCCCATTTCACAGGCACTGTGTGTTCTTGACTCTTTATTCTCATCCTTATATCCATTCCCCTTTTTTTCCCCTCCCCGTTCCATTTTTGTATCTGTTATTTTTCAGGTTTGGAGTGTTTTGGCAGGGTTGTAGACATCTTCATTTACTTTTAAGTGCCTTTAAAATGATTTTTAAAAAAAAGAAAAAAGAAATTTAATCTTTACCCGTAAGTGTTAGGAGAACCATGGTTCTTTCTCCATAGGCTTGCTTATCTCAAGATGCTCTGTGAGATGAGTGAAGAAGACACAGTGTGTTGTAAAACTCACAACAGATTCGCCCATGAGCTGTGTCAGTAGCCTGCAGCTGACAAAATTTTCAAGCGGCTGTTACATTTCCACTAACACACATGCATCTAACCAGCAGGAGATCAGGAGATGTGGTCCAAGATCCTCAGATAGGCTTATTTTTTAAACACGGTGTTATTTTGCTTTTATGCAGTTCAGAAAATTAGGTGGGAGGGTGAGGAAAAGGACATAGGAAGAACCATGCTAAA